TTTTTTTTGGTTTTTTGAGACAGGGTTTCTCAGTAGCTTTGGAGCCTGTCCTGGCACTAGCTCTTGTAGACCAGGCTGGCCTCGAACTCACAGAGATCCGCCTGCCTCTGCCTCCCGAGTGCTGGGATTAAAGGCGTGCGCCACCACCGCCCGGCTTCCCTGTTAGTTTTGAAGCAGCTTCTCACTGAACCTAGAGCTCACCAGTGGAGCTACACTGGCTGACCAGTGAGCACCAGGGAGCCTCCTGTCCTTATATTCCCAGAACTGGGTTGCAGCCACGGTCATGGCTGACGTGGGCCATGGAGATCAAAAGTCCAGGCCTCAGGCTTGTAGTGAGCACTGTTCCCCTGAGCCGGCTCCCCAGCTGTTGGCTCTGATTTCTGTGAGATTTCAAATGGCTCTAAGTTTCTTTTCTTGGTAGCTCTGCAGGCGGAACTCATTTCCGCCTTTCTCTAATACAGTGGTTGCTGATCTCAGGCTTCGTATTAATTCAACCATTTGTTTTCAGTTAATGAAGAAATATCTGCCAGAGTTATAGTAACAGGGACACAGAAGAAATGCTAAAATGGACAAATAAAAGTAAAAAAATGAAATACATTAACTTTTACACAATTTTTACACTTTCTAGACTTCTCTCTTCTTGTTCTGTTTTGTTTTTGGTTTTTTTTTTGTGTGTGTTTTTTTTTTCTATATTTTCTCTGTGTAGCCACAGCTATTCTAGAACTCACTCTATAGACCAGGCTGGCCTCGAACTCAGAGACCCACCTGCCTCTGCCTCCCAAATGCTGGGATTAAAGGTGTGCGCCACCACAGGCTTCTAGACTTTTCTTACCGCTTGACTTTGAAGCTAACTTACAAGTTTCAGACAGACTATTTGTAAACTCCGCAATGACATTTAGCATTTACTTACCAGCACACAGTATCTTACATACAGCAATGTGGTGATTTTGAAGCTTGCCAAGAGAATCCAAATAAACCTTTTCAACATCAATGACAAATATCTGGAAGTGGGCACAGGCATAATTCAGTTTCTCAATACGTTTCCCTAGAGCACAAGTCTGGCTCACAGGATCAGTTGGTGCAAACTGAGACAAACTTTGCGGCTCATACCATCCTTCTTACCATTGCCTGACTTGGGAGGGAGGCACAGACATTTAGAACCTAAAGAAAATAGAAGAATTGGGTTTGTAATCCTAATGTTACAAAATTCTGATGACAGCATTAATTAGAGTTCATTATACTGTTGGCAGCAAGAAATGCAGTCTTTCTGCGAAAATGAAGAAGTCAAAGTCTGGGGACCGGAGAGACAGTCCAGTAGTCAAGAACACCGGGTGCTCAGTCATGAGGACTGGGGCTCAGATCCCAGCGCCAAGAACTGCCCATTCCTCCGGCTCCAGTGGACCTGGTGCCCTCTTCTGACATCCTAGGGCACCTGCACTAGCCATTCACATAGGCACACACAAAAACGCACATGCGCACACATATAATTAAAAAACCTTTCTATTTATTTTTTGACGTTTCAGTGATGGTCTAAGTTGACAAAGCTCCTCAGAGTTACATGGCAGGAGCTAGACATGTTGCTTTTAAACATCCAGTCCACCACGGCCTAACATGAAATCGCTCTGTGTCTATTGTTATTTCTGGGGAAGAAAGTAACCATCCCACCCCAAAATAGAAAAATTGACTAGTGTTTCTATCATATACGCTCATATTCTAGTCTACTTCAGGCAGAAGGGCTCGTACTCGGGTCTCAAATCGGAAGGCACCGAAACGCTAACTGATGCCTATTTCCTGGGGAAAGAGGATCCTAATTTTCACCTGATACAAGTGACAAGATGACTCCAGAGGGACCAATAAAGACCTTGAGCAAAGACTAATGGGGTCTAAGTACTGAAGGTGTTTATAGATTAACCCTGACAGGAGGCAATATATCTCCTCCCAGGAGACCTCAATACAGTCAGCCGGGAGCGGGGTCTTTATTTATGAGCACAGTAGATTCCCCCCCCCCCCCGCTTGAAATAAATCCAGTAATAACTTTAAGTGAAGCACTTGACTTAGCAGGAAGCGGAACATGCCCTGCAGACCATCTCATCCACACCACTATGTGCACAGCCCGAAATTGCTTCCCCCGCAGCTGATCTTGTGGGATCACAATGGGCAAACAGTGCACGTCTATATAAAGCATTTTGTACTCTAAAACCTGCACGCTTCAAGAAAGAGAGAAGATGGACGGGATGAGTGGTGGGCAGAAAGGCCTCAGAGCTGGCTCTTTATAGTGTGGCTTCTCACGTCAAATTTCATGTGAAGCCAACAGGTTAGAAAAGAACTTATATTGTATACTGTGTATAATATATTTATAATAGCTTTTAGTGCAACTTGACTTTTTTTTTATGTGGGTGCTACAGATTCAAACTCGGACCCTCCTACTTGTACAATGAACATTCTTACTCACTGAGCCATCCTCCCAACCTCCATTTTGAAGCTATATTGGTTTTGTTCTGGCCCTCCCGGTTTTGCTAGTAAACAACCCTGGACATCAGCCCCTATAGTGTGACTATTAGCCCGCAAAATGCAATGCCTGTCCCATCCAGTTCTGCAATTAAGCCCACACAGTGCATGCTTGGAGTATCTACTCCATGTGTGATGAACAACACACTGTGTTTTCAATCAGGGCCCAACTGCCTCCAGCCCCTGCCAACAGAACATTCTTAGGTTCCTCCGGTGCAAGATCCTGTTAGGGTGTGCTTGGAAAAACACAACCGAGATTTAAGCCTATCAAAAGCGAAATACAAACAAAAGGTTAAATGTCCAAAATAATCACCCCCACGTACTTTAAAGCTATTGGCAGAAGCAAATGGGCATGATCTACAGCACCCCAGAAGCACATTGCCTAGTAATGCTGTCCTGGGAAATCAGAAGCTCTGACTCAATGGGGAAAACGGCCAGGCTTTCTCTGACCCAAAGGCAAGCATTTCTCTAGGACAAAATAAACTAAACAGCTGAAAACAAAAAAACAAAACAAAACAAAAGATGAATTGTGGAAAAGAAAATCTCTCATTCTAGCCTCCCTTTAACACGTTGCTTTTGCAAATGTGGAAAAGCATTGTAGCGATCAAAACGATGAGAGATTTTGTACCATTGCCATACACCAAGTGCAGGGTGTAACACTTGCCGCCCTGGACAAAGGTGAGAAGGGACAGATGCCAGTGGCTAAGTCCTTTCTGTGCCTGAGATACTGTGCTGTCCACCCAGACAGGAAACTGTGGGGTGCTGGCTTTATCCCCACTCTAGGGATGGAGAAGGTTGAGGGTCCTACCAAGGTCATACACCCCGAAAGGGGTGTATTCAGAATTTCAAGAACACTTTGACCCCGAGGGTATTTTTCAAAGCCGTTTGCCCGCCAACCTATGGCCACAAACCCGAATATTTCCAAATGTATCAATACACAGAACGACATGATCCGTGGACGTTCGCTGAACCGTTCTCAGGCGTCCCTTAAAATCGCTCTCTCGGCTTGGACTCTTCCACTTTACCTGTGAACTTCTGCCTATCTTGGTCTGAAGAAAATTCATCAAATCCCACCATCCCCTCCGTCCATACTAAAGAGAGACAACTGAGAAGTCAGCAGAACTAATTCAACGGGGCAGTCCTACCGTTTTCACCCTGAACGATAATTGCTCACAACTGAATTCTCTCTAGCCCTCAAACTCCAATAATTCAAGCCAGAACAGCTCTCCTGCCAGCCTCTATCAAAGGGCGGGGGGCTTCCCGTCCCCTGCCAGATAATTACAGATTAGATACTGCCTCTTGCTAAGATTTCTCTCTTTCGCCTTCACCTCTTATAAAAGAAGAAACTTTAAAGATTAGGGTTTTTTTTCCCCCTTCTTCTTTTTTTCCCCTCTAAAGCTGGGTACACCAACTGGCATGGGCTGTATTAAAATCAGGAGACAGCTCAGTCAAAAAGCCTCTCGGAAGGCAGGAGTTCTGGTTAGTATGCACCGACATGAAAGGGTTTCTTTTCATCCTATACAACTACAGTGTGTGTAAATTGCAGGGGGCTCATTGGCATAAATCTCGGCTGCGACCTCTGAGGTAAACTGGATTTACATTACTTTCTGACAAGAATTAAATGAAGGCCTTGTGGATATATGAACAGCCTTCTAGGCTGCAACAGATGGGCATGAATGTGTTCCCTAGGAAAACTATCAGTGACATCTGTGTCCTCCAAATTCTGGTGGTCTCAGCCAATTAATGGGGGGGGGCGGGGGAGACTGCAGGGAGGTGGGGGGCTGGGAGGCCAGTGCACTGCCCCCAGCCAAAACCGAGGCAGAAGTGTTTGTGTTTGGAGATGGGATCAGGCTGGCCTGCAGCCGCGAGGTTAGCACTTCATAGTCGCCATCCGAGATGGGGAATGCGGCTTACAAGCTATTTGTATACCGCAGTGAGGATAATATGATTTTTTTTCTCATTTGACCGGAGGAGATGGTCCTCCCTTGCAGCTGATATCATATTTCAGTTCAGTCTCTTTGAGGACGTGTTTACTTTTGTCTCCTCTGAGGCAGGCTGATGGGGCTGCTGGCTGCCAGCTTTGGTCGTTCATTTGCATGTCACAGAGCAGGTGAACTCTAAGGCAACACAGAGGTCCTCCCCCTCCCCCTTCACACACAAAAAAAGCGCCTCCTTAAACCCCACCACATCCCTCCTCCCTTGACCGATTTCACAAGGAGAGCCAAATCAAGGTTTCCAGGTTTAAATGACCGTCAAGAGAAATTACATCAGAGTCCTGTGACGAAGGGGCTGTTTATGAGACAGAGCTGTGGATGCTGAATCCTGCTGTCCTCACCGGGCAGACCTCAGAGGTCAGTCTCTGTCGGTGAGAGGGAGAAAGGACGCAAGATAAACTCAAGAGAAGCCATGGTTCCTCTTCAGCCCTTCTTTCTCCTTTGCATCTCAGTCTATTTGTTCAGAGCACACAGGGAAGGACACTGAGCCTGGGGAGCTCAAGGAACTGGGGCTGTAGACAGGACACACTTTCCCTTGCCTGGTGTAAGCCGCAAACCGGCCCATTTATGGATTGTGAGCCCTGTGCCTTCTGACCCTGTGGTAACAACACGGCTTGAGATCCCAAGTTTTTGAATCTGAATTCCGGTTGTACCATTGACCAGATGTGAGAAAGGGCCACATTACTTGGGTTCTATGGACCTCAATTTCCTCATGCATAAATCTGAGCTAACCATACTATCTCCCTCTCAATCAGGATGAACTGACATAACATGGAGTGCCTGGCATTGCTGAGATGCCGTGGGCATCCTGGTGCCTAGGAAGCACGCGTTCCCTGGTGCCAAACCAGCTTTTCAGAATAACGGTAGTCTTATACTACAAGCATTTTGGGAAATCCAAAGACCTGATTTTTTCAAAAGAAGCACTTACCATTCTTTTGGGAGCCTAAGGACATGATTTGACAGCATGTGTTAAACATGTTTCAACATGCTTACAAATCAGGGGTGTAACTTGGTAGCAGACATGAGCCCCTAGGTTTGGATTCCCAACACTGGGAGAAGAAATTACATATTTTCCTGAATGACTAAGACTTTGAAATTATGGCGTGCCGAAACGAATTTACTAACCACCAAAACTACCTGGGTATTCTGAAGTCGCGAGAAATAAGAGCACTCGGGACAAGAAAACTTGTATTAAGCTGTTTAGACTTTTCTCAGTTGCGGGAATGAACACCAGCCGTTTGCTCAGTCCAAAATTGACCATTATATGTGATGTTCGAGAAGCAAATGGTTGATCGTGATACTTCTCATGGGAACTATTCTACCCTGCATTTCAGGTGCTGTTGAAACCACAGCGGTTTCACGTATCCGCGTCTTGAAACAGCGAGAGCAGAAGGAATTGAAGAGAGGCAAAGTCTCCAGAAAGAGGGCCTGCTCCCCAGGTCATAAGTGTTCCTACGCTGTAGCTTTTGTTCCCCCCCCACCCCCCGACATTTTATTTTGAAGATGGTTTTTGTATGATGAAAAATTTAAATACACAGCCATGTTCAAAGGATAATAAAGTCTAGTTACCCTGTGCAGAACACTTGCCATACACATATTTATATACGCATTCATGCGTGTGTATGGATTAGAACTATTTGAAAGCAAATTAAAGATACC